TTTATGAAGGTACTCGTGTTTCACCTGACCGAGGGTCATTTAGATCTAGTGTTTCCCGTCCGTAAGATCCACACAATCTGAGTTCCTTGAGATTTACTCGTTGGTGTTTGTAAATTTTTTAAATAGAGGTTATTATTATTCATATTATGATTTTGATATAGATTTTCTGATTCGTAGGATCTAGCACTGCCACTGATCATGATCGACAGACTCAGTAATAGGTTTTCCTAGCTATCAGATTAGTCAGACTGGTACATGTGATTTTCCTGATGGTGTTAAATTACTGTTTTAAACTATCTATTTGAATTGTTTTAGATTTCTGAGGATACTAAATATTTTTACGAGACAATATCCGATTTTCTGAATACTATTTATCTGATATATGATTTACCACATAATTCTGATATGATCTTTGGTTACAAAATTTTTGTACTTGATTTCTGAATATGGAACATTTTATCTTTTAATAGATTAATTACAATTTTCACTAGAATACACACATGTTTATTACTGTTTTTGGGGGTATTATTGGATGAAGTATATCAGGCTTAGTCTATGACTTGTAAGACCTTACCGCAGACTCCTCTGCTTTGCGCACATGGTAAGTTCTTACCACATGTCCTTATGCTATATGTATAAGGCCCTTACCGTGTGTACATGTGGGTGTACGGTTCTAGGGAACCTACACATTCTGGTGATCGGATGGGGGTAGTGTTCATATTTTAAAAAAATATTTGATAAACTGATTTATACTGAAGTATTTTTATATGAATGTTTTTATACATCGCAAGGAGCGCACTGAGCTTTTTAGCTCATTATGTAAATTTAAACCTTTCAGATAACTGCATACCTTTAGGCTAGCAGACTTGGCATCAGGAGGACTGACTTCTCCTAATTTTGTACCACTATATATTTCTATGTGTTTCTATTATATTTTGATGATATGTGTTTTTGCTTCTATCTTGATATATATGTATTACCGGTATTTTGATATGTATATGTTTTATACAGTTTTCGGACATATGTATACATATATGTTTATCGTATGAATCTTTCTTATGAATTTTAACGTTGTTTTAAAAATGAAAAAAAAATCTGAATACGATACGTAACCACCTAGATTGGGGCATAACGTCCAGGTCGAGTCTAGGGGGTTACAATATATTTTTATTACTATTATAAACTTTATTTTTTTTACCAAACATTGTTCGTTTTATTTTCCAAAATTTAAAAGAAAATCTTTTGAATAAAAAACAATTGTAATTTTAATGGTATTTAATTATTATTTTCAATGATTATAGTATATTTTTATTAAAATATTTTTACATTCTAACTATATAAATTTAGTAGCTTTTAAATTTATCTTTATTTTTTAATAATTTCAGTTTAAAGTATTTAAAAATATTTTTAAAATCAGTAGTAATTAATTTTATTAATAGATTAACTTAAATCAAATATTAAAAAAATATTATCTAATTATATAATATTTTAATATTTAATAATATTTAATAATTAATTATATGAAATAAATTTATGCATTTCATTTAATATCATTAATGATGATTTTATATTTTTACTATAATTAATATCATCATTAATGATGGGTAAACTTTATTATTCATTGTTTTATACTGCACTTAAAGCGATGATTGTTCGGTAAGCCAGAAAAATAAAATTAATAATAATACCAATATTTAAAAGTTCATGTAAGATTTATAACAATTGTCACAGTGGTTAAAGCCTATGCAGTGGTCCCTCTGGTTTTAGGTACGATCTCTCCAAACACTACTTTATTTTTACTCTGTTTTCACCTTGATCAGGTGGTGAATTGGAGAGAAACTTTATTTCATTAAAAATATTAAAATTAATTTTAAAAGCTCTCCAATCAGCTATTGACACATGCCACCTTTTTAATGAGAGGATCAATTTTTTGAACTAAATTCAAATTAGGATTAAATTGATAGGATATGTAAGTAATAAGGATTAATTGTATAATTATGTCATTTTATTAACTACCTCATCACCATTTTTGTCAAATATTAATGATTAATGGCTTAATTAATAACAATTAAATGATTATGTGGTTTGATTGACAAAATAAAAAAATCGATTGTAAACATAAAATGGTTAAATAATAAAATTAACCCTCCAATCCGGAAGTTGCATGAATCAGTAGATATTATGACATATTTCCAAGTGACACATGTCATTATATGTTTTGATGGTTAATTTAATTAATTTTAGGACAAGCTGTCGATGACCACTAAATATGTCATAATAATCTGCTGACATGTGACACATTCGGATTATTGAGTTAAATTTATTTAATTTTATCAAAACATTAAATTTAATTAAATTAATCTTCTAATAATATAATGATACGTGCCACTTGAAAAATATCATAATAATCTGATAACATGTGGTATCTTCATATTAGAGGATAAATTTATTTAATTAAATTAAAATAATGACTAAATTAATAGAATATATAAATATTTTATAACGATGATTCGATTTTATAATGATAATTTAGTTATAAACTAATGATAGGTGATTAGATTGAAATATTTAAATAATTGAGTGGTATAATTGATCAAATTGATATAATAGTGGTAAGTGTAATTTACCTTAAAATTAAATTAAAATGTATAAATATATAAAAAATATTAATGTTATTATCTATCATATTATTAATTGTTAAAATGTTAATGATTAATTAATTACTTTTATAAAATTGGATCATTAATTTATAATCTCTCATAAAGGAAAATCCAATAGAAAACACATGTACAAAGACTATTTAAATATTTTACCGTCAAAGAAAAGCATGACACAAAAAGTGGTGTGGGAAAGAGTCAAAAGCTATACTGCAGTTTGCAGATAGATGATTTAAAAGCCTCCCCCAATTTATATTGGCTAACGTGTAACTCGGGTTGTAAACGAGTTGAATCCTGTTTGAATATTATTGATTTTAAAAATTTTAAAATAAAGTTTGATTTTATTTAAAATTTTATGAGTTTAATTTTTTTTAAACTCGACTCAAATTTAAAATAATAAATTTAGATATAAAATTAAAAAATTATTATAAAGAATTAAAATATTTTTTATTTACCATAAATATAATTTATTTTCATTAAAGGGATCTGGTAAATGTTTTATTTATTTTTTAAAATATATATTTTCAATATTAAATAATATTTTTAAAAATATTTGACGGGATCAAAATTCCTCTTGACCCCACGATGTTCCGTCCATGCAAAAATTAAAATTCGTAAAAGATAGAAATGAAAAAATAAAATTTAAATTTAACTCGATTGAAACTCAAATTTAAATTTAAACCTAATCCTTAAATACAAAAAATTATATTGTAATTTTTAAAAGATTAAAACATGAATATTAATATTATTAATAATTTATTTTTAAAAAAATTTTTAATATATTATAATTCACATTACTAGTAAATATTTAGATGGAATATTAAATAATTTTCTCAACTTGTTAAAACTCGAATCTAATCCATTCTAATTAAATATTTATCAAATTTTAACTAGATATATCTTAAATAACTCATAATATATCACAGTATATGTCATGTCGTTTACAACCCTACTTATACTGCTCTTGCCGCCAACAGAACAAGCACTTGTGATGGTGAAACAGAACCAACAAAAATTCCATGTGAAACAGCTTTGTTCAATATGAATATAAAAAATATTATTGATTTCTCACCATCTATAAAATAAAATCGGTTCAGGGGAACAGTGAACCTAAAAGAAGAACAGGTTCCATTCAATCGAGAGAAAGAGAGAATTGCTGGAGACACATAAAAGGACAAGTGCAGTCCCTTAAAAAGGTGATAAATGGGGCCCTTCCCTTCTTTCTTCTCCTTTTTCTCTTCCTTAATCTTTGCGATGATAAACCGTCTTAGTGTGGGAATTGCAGTAAAACAGTTCTATCAGGACAACATAAGATTATATTCTACTGCACTGTTTTCTGTCGGTTGCTTGCTGAGTTACATTCCTGCAAATTCCAGCTCGTTCATTTGGGGTTTGTTTAGGGAGTGCACTCTCAGAGAGAGAGAGAGAGAGAGAGAGAGAATAGAATACTTACAAAAGAAGAAAAAGAGATGTTGGGCGAGGCAATAATTAAGAACTGTACCATTGTGCGGTCTCTGAGAGGGCTTGTCGGTTGCACCATCCTCAGATAGTGGTTTTCAATGTGACAAACCAAACCCACCTGTTCCTTTGACATGTTGATTTTATGGGGTTGTATAGGTGACTAGGAAACAACCCCCCGCAAATATCTATCTGGTCCCTTAATCTATCTTTAAACAAGCTTTCTTGCTTGGTTTGGTCTTAATTAATACCTGGTTAGACCATTCTTACATAAAAAAAACACTAACCAGATACCATCTGATCAGTTCAACTCATCGAGTTGAGCTCTTTCTAAACTTTTGTTTCAGCTCAAGCCCCCAGATCATAGTTCCGTTTCTTGTTTGACTTCGCAAATCTATATTTTTAGTCATTTTTTAAGGGTGTTTTTATGATATAAATTTAATTAAATTATTTTTAGTCCTTTATGATTTTCTTTTGTCTGTTTATTACGGATGCACTTGACTTCGTCTCCAGAAACAGGAAATGAGTCATTAGTGAGATGAGTTGGTGGATTTACCACTAAAACGTCAAGTCAGAATAAGAGAAAAGGAATAATTTGGGGTTCTCTTACTAATTATTCCTTTGAGTGATGAATTAGGGTTGAAAAACATTACAGACGAATCTAAAAGAATTTTTTAAGATATATATTGAAAGTATAAAATTTTTACGAATAAACACGTATAATTTATAAAATAAAAGACAAAAAAATTTTAAATCTCAGCCACATATAGTGATGATGATGATGGATTTGAGAGTAAACAGATTACTGGTTTATTAGTTTTTAATCTAAGGGTTCGCTGAAAATCAAGGATTTTACATCGGAAAACCATTTTGTTCAGAGTTCTAATGGAACCCAAAGGCCAAGAAGAGAAAATGGTGATGCCGAGCTCTTTTAGTTTCAAAAATCAACTCAACAATCACTCTTATTCTTCAGCTGCAGGAGAAAGAAGAAGAGATGAAACGGTTCATGGTGACCCGAACCCACCTCGAACCCTAATGCTCAACCCCACAAGAGATCCGGAGCCAGATCCGGAGCCAGATCCAGCTTCCATAGCTACAAACAGCGAGGCAGCGACCAGATCAAGCCTGAAATCACCGCCACAACAACCACCAACATCACAGCTGCAGCCAGACGCTGGTCCAACCTCGGCAGCTATCGGCTCTACCATTCCTTTGATTAGATATAGAGAATGCTTGAAGGACTACGCCGCCAGCATGGGCGGCCATGTAGTGGATGGTTGTGGGGAGTTCATGCCGAGCGGCGAAGACGACACACCGGAAGCGATGAAATGTGCAGCCTGCGACTGCCATAGAAGTTTTCATAGGAAGGAAATAAACGGGGAATCACAATATGCACCAAGCTCTTATTATTATAATCCCAACGCAAACAACATGATAAGAAACGCTGTACGTCGTCTTGATCCTCAACAACCAACCCCTCTTCATCGTCATGGAAGATCTCCACCATTGTTGGTGAACTTCGGCGGCGGCACGGCGGAGTCCTGGAGCGAAGATCTCAATATGGTTGATTTCAATGGAGGAGGGCGAACCTCGCACCCACATTCATCGAAGAAGAGATTTAGAACAAAGCTCAGTGAAGAACAAAAGGACACGATGATGAAATTCGTCGACAAGTTGGGATGGAGAATCCAGAAACAAGATGAAGAAGAGGTGCGGCGGTTTTGTGATCAAGTGGGAGTAAAGAGACAAGTTTTCAAAGTTTGGATGCACAACAACAAACAAGCCATGAAGAGAAAACAAGTGTAAGAAAACATTCAAGTTGTTCAAAAATATAATTTCTTAGAAAATATGGACAGATTTAGAGAATAATCTTCGGGTTAAAAATGTGCATAAAGAAGACATACATTACAAATCTTACTATATTTACTGAATCTTCTTGATTTGTAACAAGAAATATCTGTTCCCCATCATTCAATGATCTTTTCAGGATAATTTCCTACATAAGGGCAAATGGCAAAAATATGAGAACTGTAATACTTGTTCAATAAGAACATCTAGGAATCATATATTATTATTATTTATTGAGATTTTGAGTTTAAATTCTAATATACAGGAGTGTAGAAACAAATTGAGAATTTTTCGAACATATCATCGTATTTGTAAAAAAATCAGAGTTAGTCAGGATTTCCTTCAAAATAAACAACTAGGCAATCTGTTCTCCATTTTACTTGTTCCATGAGGAATACATTTATACAATGCATCTCAAACAAAACTCAGTTTTGCTGAAAGAGACTGGATGCACGTAACAATCACATACATGAAAAAGAGAGATACAGTTTGTAAACAATATAGCCATATCAAATCAGTCAACTACACAAGTGACGCCAGACAGAATAGTGATTATCCTGTAGGCTAGCTCCGACAGACGATTAACAAGAGAAAATTCGCCCAAAAACCAGAGAAAAAAAGTCTCTAGGGTTTAATAAAATATTATAAAATCAAAAACAATCCAAAAAGTAGTCCACAAGCCGGACTGTTATAGCAAAAAAATCGTCTTTATTCGAATTTTGCCAAAAATAGCAAAATCCCGAAAATCACTCTAAATTGAAATTCGAAATAAAATAAGCAATCTCCCAAAATCCGGCCTAAATCGGATTTAAATTGACTTCCTAATTAACAATCGAATATTACCATAAGTAAAAAATAACTAATCTAGTGATTCGGAGGGGAAAATGGCAGAATTTGAGGTTGAAAAAAAGGCCACATGGAGCATAGCTCATATGGAGAGCGTGCGCGTCGAAAATAGCTTTCCGGATTGGGGTCTTATGCGCGATTCTGACACCTGTAGCCAAAGTATGGCCAAAAGACTGAAACATACTCAAAACGACCCCAATGAGGAACATGTCACAATCAATTCCCGCCTTTGCACTGATCTGCCCAACTCATGGTATCTCAGCGCCATCAACGTGCAATCTGACAGCTCAGCATCATCTGTCTCGGATCCCCCTGCATCAGTCACCCCGGTTGGAAAGAACTCGTCCTCGAGTTCAGAGTAGTGTCATCAGGATCCACAAAACAATGACTCAGGTGCTTCACATTAAAGACATCAGAAGTCTTCAAGTGACTGAGAAGTCGCACCTGTAAGCATTATCATTGATCTGCACGACCTCACAAGGTCCAATCTTCCGATCCTTAAGCTTATTATACTCACCAACAGGAAAAACGATCACGAGTTAATACAGCCCAACAAAATCACCAACATCAAAAAGTACCTGACGACGATGATTGTCGACCCGAGTCTTGTACTTGGTATTGCTCTCATGAATGGTCTGTTTCACCTGCTCATGGATACCCCCGAAGATACTTTGCCATCTCTGATTTAGGACTGAAACGTCCTATACGTGGAATAGGGGCTAAGTCCAACACCCCGGATGGGTTCTGACCATAGACAATCTCAAATGGGCTTAAACCTGTGGTTCTGTTTTTTGATCTGTTGTAGGCAAATTCTGCCTGAGGCAATGCCAAATCCCACTGCTTCGGCTTCGTTCCTGCCAAACACCTTAAAAGGTTTCCCAAACTTCGGTTCACCACCTCAGTCTGGCCATCCGCTGGGGGTGGTAGGCGCTACTGAAATTCAACTGCGTTCCCAGTTTCCCCCACAGGCTCTTCCAAAATGACTGATGAACTTAGTATCACGATCTGAAGTGATGGATCGAGGAACCCATGTAAACGCACAATCTCCTTGAAATAGAGATGGGCAATCCGGTCAGCATCCATAGTCTTTCTGCAAGCTACAAAATGCCATCTTGGAAACCTGTCAACCACAACAAAGATAGAATTAGAGGCCCTTTGGGTGCGGGGTAAGCCTAGTACAAAATCCATGCTGACATCGAACCAAGGAGCTTCAGGAACAGGTAAGGGAGTGTACAATCCCGCATTGGTGAGAACTCCCTTAGACCGCTGCACACATAACCACGTCCACATAAGGGCCACATCACTAGTCCAACTTGGGCCAATAAAATTCAGAAGAGATAAGGCCAATTCTTATCTCGGCCAAAGTGTCCCTCATTATGGAGTTCACTTAATTTGCTGCCTCAATGAACAATCTGGAATGCACAATTGTAATCCACGAAACAGATACCCATTATGCAAAACAAAAATCATGACGGTGACCCCAGTTACCTCCTGAAATATCCTTCCAAAGGAAGGATCAGCTGCAATACTATCTGTGAACGTCTCAATCCTGCAACTTTAGTACTCATGGTGGTGAGAAGTAAGGTCGACGGCTCAGGCATCTGCGACGCGGTTTCAAACTCCCTGCTTGGTGCCTCAGCGTAAAAGTGAATTCTTGCAAGTATGCTACCCACTTGGCATGACGTCTACTCAGCTTGTGTTGGCCATGATGTACTTCAAGGCCCCATGATCGGTAAACAGAATAAACTCCTTCTGTACTAGGTAGTGAGCCAATGCTTCAGGGACTGAACTATGGCATAGAACTCCAGATCATAAGTGGAATAATTTTTCTTTGATCCTGATAGCTTATCACTGAAAAAAGCAACCAGACGACCTGCCTGACTCAGAACACCACCAATGCCAACGCAGATGCATCACAATTTACCTCGAACACTTTGTCAAAATCTGGAAGTGCCAAACTGGAGCCTCGGTCATCTTCTGCTTGACCAGTTGAAAACTGGCCTCTGCCTCCTCAGACCACTGGAAATCACGCCCCTTGAGGCACTCTGTGATAGGGGCGATCAGAGTACTGCAATTCTAATGAATCGATGGTAAAAAGACGCCAAGCCATGGAAACTTCGGATGTCATGTAGGTTCTGGTCTGGGCCACTCCAAGACTGCATCTATCTTTGACTGATCTGCATGAACACCATCAGTAGACACAACAAAACCAAGAAAAGTCACAGAAGTAGTGAAGAAAGAACACTTCTTTTGATTGACAAAGCACTCCGTTTTCAGCATCTCAAAAACAGCACGGAGGTGATCGAAGTGTGAAGTCCATGTCGGACTATAAACGAGGATATCGAAGTAAACTACAACAAATTTCCCCATAAAAGGCCGCAAGACCTGATGCATAAATCTCATGAATGTACTGGGCACATTGGATAACCCAAAAGGCATGACCATCCACTCATACAACCCTTGTGGCGTTTTAACGCCGTCTTCCACTCATCTCCAGGCCTTATTCTGATTTGGTGGTAACCGCTCTTAAGGTCAATTTTTGAGAAGATCTTAGAACCAGATAGCTGATCCAACATATCATCTAGACGGGGAATTGGAAACCGGTACTTCACAGTAATTCTGTTGATCGCTCGGCTGTCAACACACATACGCCAAGAACCATCTTTCTTTGGCACTAACAGAGCAGGGACTGCACATGGGCTCATACTCTCTCGTATATAGCCCCTCTCCAACAACTCTTCCACCTGTCGCTGCAACTCTTCGGCCTCCTTGGGACTGAGGCGATATGCTGGTCGATTTGGCAAACTGACCCAGGAACAAGGTCAATTTGATGCTGATATCCCTCATAGGTGGTAGTCCAGGAGGAAGATCCTCTGGCATCAAGTTAGAGAATTCTGCTAGCAGCCGCTTGCACCTCTACTGGTAATCTGTATCCACGTCTACTGCATTGTTCTCGCAAGGTAGCAAGGCATAGACCACGCCGCCATGCTCAATCTCATCTAAAAACCTGGACATAGAAAGTAGATTAGTATTATGGGTTACTGGGGTAGGAGTAAGTCCTTCCCACCGGGGTGCCAACACAATATTTTTTCCCTTGATGCTAAGGGAATATGTATTCTTTCGTCCATCATGAATGACACTGCGATCATACTGCCAAGGTCGACCCAACAATATATGACACGCATCCATAGACACAACATCACACCAGGCATTATCAAAATATTTCTACCAATTGAAAAAGACACGAGACATCGCCTATCAACTGTTACCTCACTGTCTTTATTTAGCCATGACAATTGTATGGCTTAGGATGACGGTCCGTCTTCAACTGCAATTTCTGGACAACCTCTCGGACACTACATTCTCACAACTGCCGCTGTCAATGATCATTTTGCAGACTTTATCTGCAACTGTGCAAGTCGTGTGGAAAATATTGGTTCTCAACCAATCGTCCCCTGAATCGCCCCTTGGGGGTAAGTAGACTCTTGCGAACGACCAGAGTCTCATGACCATCTCCATACAGCACATCATCAATCTCTTCATCGTCATACACGGGTTCGCCAATCTCCTCAGTCTCGTTTTCCACGTTTTCCTCAATCAACAAATTTTTGCCCTTTTGACTAGCAGGCTTCCTGCAATCAGTCGCCCTATGCCCTTGTTCACCACAACGAAAACATTAATAGTAGGGTTAGAATTACCCTACGGTGGCTACTGAGCAGGACGGGACTCTTGAGCGAACTGGTCGACTGTTGTGATCGCTCCTGATCACTGGTCTCCTGTTTTTGCTGTTTTTCAACAGCAAGTGCACGCTGGTATGCTCCGAAACACTCCACAATGAATGAAGGCTGAGGACATCTTGCAAGGGCTGGCGTAAACCCCCCCAAATATCGCGCCACCATCTGCTCCTCCGTCTCAGATAATCGTTCGGGCGACCAATTGGTAAAACTCCTCCGTGTAATCATCGACTGATCGCGCGCCTGTCTCAACGCATGAAGTCGCTGAAATAAGGTTTGCGTGTAGCCGAAGGGAATGAAGTGGCCCTTCATCTTCTTTTTCATCTTCTCCCATCAGTGATCTTGGCTTTGCCCTGTCTTTCTCGTGAACGTCGTAACTGTT